AACCACCGATGCTTGTTTAGCCTAGCAGTGAATTGGTGTAGGAGAGGCGAGAGAGAAAAAGAAGGGAGAGGCAGTAAGGAAAAGAGAAAACACGGAGAAAACCAAAAAGTTGTTCATGGAGAAAATGCGCATCGGTGGTTCAGTGGTAGAATGCTCGCCTGCCACGCGGGCGGCCCGGGTTCGATTCCCGGTCGATGCAATTGTTTTCTTCGTCTTTTTTGTGTTATTTATCTACCCCAATTTTCAGATCACTATATGGGTATCAAGATGAAGAAGAGGAATTCGTCAAAGTCTACTTTTCCTCACCATTCTATCTACAAAAAGCGACACATTCTCTTGGCAAAGAAGTGATTGATAAGCCACTTTTCCAGCCATTCGAAGCCCATCTACCCTTTCATCTTCAATTTTTCATCGATAATTCGATATTCGGAATGGATAATATCCATTTGAAAAATGTGAAATTTCGTGTGGATCCTAATGATAATAATAACGATGTTGTCTATCAAAATCTAACGGTAGGAGATGTCAAAAACAATGATAGCTTGTTATCTCCTTATGAGAGAAAGACCACTTGCCACGTGGAATGCGATGCGATGGTGTCGGATATCTTGAATCTTCAGATGCAGGCAGATAATGGTATCTGAAATACTTTGACAATCAATAAATAAGAATTACAGTACACTCCTCGAATCCTGGATTGGAATATATATGGAGAGAAGAAAAAGAACGATGTGATGCAGAAGGAACCGAGTTGAAGGACACTTTCAATTCATGTAAACTTCAAAATTCAGAGTAAAATTTTAGAATATTGAAAGTATGACTTTTCAGATGAGCCCCGAAAATCGACAATCTGGCCGCAGGAGCGAGAAATGCTTCGGACCGCCCGTAAAATGGCGAAACGTTTTAGAGAAGAACGGTGTATGTCGGAGCAGTTGGATGATTTGATGACGACGAGAATCGCCGAGACCCAGCAGAGTTCCACGTCTTCTGTGTCAGATATGACGATTTGGGAGAAAGAAGAGGAAGAAAGAGAAGATGTGCCGAAGAAGAAGAAGATGACGAGGGAGAAGACTCCAGAAGAATTAGATGAGGAGCGGCAGAAGGAAGAAGATCGGGAAGAGGTGCCAGAAGACGATGATAATGATCCAGGGACTCAGGAAGCGGAAATGACAATGATCACGGATAGTCAGAAGGTGTTAGAGAAAGACGGAGAAGAGGATGTTGTTATGGAGGTAGATGAGGAAGAAGAAGATCCCGACAAGACAATTACGGAAGACGTGTCTTCTGGAGAGGAGGAAAGTCATGATGAAGTGATTCAATGGATTACAACAAAGAGTTCATATGAGCAAAGTTTTATAAGCATGAATGAGGAATTATGTGAACCGAAAAAGCCAGATACAGAAGGAAGACAGTTTTCTCGAGAGATGACCGCGTGCTCTGTGATGACTGATGAGACGGTGGTGGCTCCGGCTGAGCATTCGCAGGCCATGGAACAGTCAAAATTATTGTCGCAGATGTCGCAAGGTAGGTATACAACGGTTGCCGCGGCCGAAGGTCCTACAACTACAACTACAGTAACCTAAAAATAATACTTTATTTTCGATTTATTGTCTCGATGTTTCTGCGTTTTCAGGCAATTTTTTCACTGTCAAAAGTTTTCATTTTCCGTCTTGTTTAGAGAAAAATAGAGGCTTCACGAATTCCAAAGAAAAACATTTCTGGGAAATGTGGGCGGAGTCAGGAGCGGTGTCTAAATCGCAAGCCTGGCACGATTTTTTTGCTGCACAATTGCATACGGTAATGAGAAAAACTGCGGCGAAACCGTGCCGAGCTTCCAATTTACGCTCCGCCCACTTTTCTAGGAATTTTTCCCCGGAAAAAGTTTTCTACGTATTTTCTGGTGTCTCGGAAAATAACAG